TGTTTGATTATTATGGACTCGTCATAGGAAGCTTCTGGCCTCCACAGTGTTCACTTATCTATTGCCGATTAACCACAGTTTTACGGGATTGTGGCTTCTGATAGTGATAAATGTTTAAAGAGGTTCTTTATGCTCTGTATACTTTTCTCACTGCAGGTTGGCCACCTCATCATCACACTTCTCCAACCGTCTCACACTATCTAAGTCTCCACAGCTTCCAGAACCCGAACAAAGAGGGAGATGGATATTATTTAAATAAAATTATGCTTCAGGTCAGTAAAATCATAAGACAAACACAATTAAATAGTTAATTGAAAAGTTAAGCGTATAGGATTTGAATCTGTGTCTTTATCATGTCATGCCATTTCATGTCATGTCGCCATTTCAGTTAAGTCATGTTATGTCATCATTTCAGTTAAGACATGTCATGTCGCCATTTCAGTTATGCCATATGTTGCCATTTCAGTTATGCCATATCATGTCGCCATTTCAGTTAAGTCATGTCGTCATTTCATTTATCATGTCATGTTGCCATTTTAGGTAAAACATGTCATGGCGCCATTTCAGTTATGTCATGTCATGTCACCATTTCAGTTAAGACATGTCATGTCGCCATTTCAGTTAGTCATGTCATCATGTCATGTCGCCATTTTAATTAAGACATGATGCCATGTTGCAATTTCAGTGAAGTCATGTCATTTTGGCATTTTAGTAAAGACATGCCATGTCGCCATTTCAGTTAAATCATGTCGTTATGTCATGTCGCCATTTTAGTTAAGACATGCCATGTCGCCATTTCAGTGAAGTCATGTCATGTTGCCATTTCAGTTAAGTCATGTCATGTCGCCATTTCAGTGAAGTCATGTCATGTTGCCATTTCAGTTAAGTCATGTCATGTCGCCATTTCAGTTAAGTCATGTCATGTCGCCATTTCAGTTAAGTCATGTCATGTCGCCATTTCAGTGAAGTCATGTCATGTCGCCATTTCAGTGAAGTCATGTCATGTTGCCATTTCAGTTAAGTCATGTCATGTCGCCATTTCAGTTAAGTCATGTCATGTCGCCATTTCAGTTAAGTCATGTCATGTCGCCATTTTTTTATACAAGATCCATGATCATCTTGTCTTATACTAACCATTCATTTCAGAAGAGATATTTTTTATAAACCAGTGGAAAGAACAGGGTGGAAAATGGCAGTGAAAAACTAAATTATGGTTCTTTTTAGGACGAAAAAGAAACTTTACAGTTACATGAAAAGTGGTCCTCAGGGATATAATTATGAAACTTGTTCACCTAAAAATAATTAACCTTGTGTCATTCCAAATCTGTATGACTTTCTTTCTTCCATTAAACACAAAATTGATGAATTAGGTAGGCCTACTTTTCTCAATGCAATTAGTCCTCATGGGCACTGAGACTTCCAAGCTTTAAAAAGGAAACAAAAGCATTAGCCTATAAAAGAGGTCCATATGACTCATGCACTATATTCTAAGTCATCTAAGTCTAAGTCATACGATAGCTTTGTGTGAGGAACATTCAAAATGTAAGTCGTTATTCACGTATCCTCCTCTATGTGATCTGTTGACTGCCTATTGAGTTGAACTTGAGAACCGAATTATGCTTTTATGCCCTTTTTGAAACTTGAAAGTCTCAGTCACCATTTACTGTAACTGTATGGAAAAGAGAGGTTTTTTCTTTCCTCTTTCGGGAAAAAAACTCATAGTTGATTTGAATGACATGAGTAATTTTTAATTTGGGTGAACTATTCCTTTAAATAAATACATGTATGACTTGAGCATTTTATGTCTGGAACTACCTTGGTGAATACTCTGAAACCCTGCTTGCACAAACAGATTATGGAGGCTAAAATTGCATATGGATGGAAAGAGAGACATTTTGGCAGAGATGGAAAACCTCACTACGATCAGATCAGCTTATAGCCCAACACGCCGCTTGAGATATGCAGCATGACGCAGCATGAGAGACGCTTGAGATAAAGCTAAAGAGATTCAAAACATAGATTATTCTCTCATTCTTTCTCCCATCCCAGAGGCTGTGGTGTCTATGTGTAACCTTTGGGTTAATTTGGTGTGACTTTGACATTTATGAAATGTATGAACTATGTGGTTTGGACCTACACTCCAAAAGCCAAGGGGTATATCAGGAGAGATGGAGATGGAGGTAAAGGCAGGGATAGCAAGAGAGAGGGAGCAGATGGGTCAGCCATCTGGTAGAAGGAGAAAAGGAAGGGAGATGAGAGGAGGAGGGAGCGCTGGAGAGAGGCAGAGAGAGAGATCCATGGGAAATATATATGAGTAGGAATGAAAACATCAGATTGGCCTGTGTGTGTTAGATGTTTGTGTTAGATATTCCTGAGACTCCGGTGCATGTGAATATGGGAAGCATGGTGAGTTGTGCTGCATGTAGTATGTAAAATTGCACAAAATTACCGATATGATAATTTTGAATCTGTTATTTTTAAAAACATGTGAAATCCCAAATGCATGATTGATCATTTACTCACTCTCATTTTGCCCTAAATCTAAATATGTTTTTTCTGTCAGGAAAGACAAAAGCAGAAGAGAATCCCCTTAAAAGTAGTTGTGTGTGTGTATTTAAAATAGTTTACAGTGTTACATTTTTATGTGTACATTGTTATTTTTTTTAAACTTTCTTTTCATCAAAGAATCTTAAAAAAATGTATCACAAAATGTATCAAAAATATTTCAACAAAAATATTAAACAGAAGAACTGTTTTAAACTGAAAATAATAAGAAATATCTCTTGAGCACCAAATCAACATATTAGAATTATTTCTGAAGGATCATGTAAATAATGGCTGCTGAAAATGTTTTTGAAAATAAAAACAAAAAAGTTATCCCTAAGATAGATATATATGTATGTGTGTGTGTATATATATATATATATATATATATATACTTGAGATTTTTTCCTAACTTCATATAAAGCTTAAATATTTACACACATACACTCACGCATGCACGCACGCACGCACGCACACACACACACACACAAAATAAATAATTCAGCTTTACATATAAGTATTATCTGGACAATATTTATTTACTTTGTATTAAGTAGACAGTGTATCTTCTTCTATCCACTATTTATGTAAGACAAAAAAACAGAAAAAGTTTAAATTTACATGTTTGTTTATTAAGCATATTGTTACTAAGCAGCTTTACTGAGAATATTGCCATAAGACGATTTAGCAAAGCTAAAGGTGACTGGCAAGGTGAAACTCCCTAGAAAGGTACAACAAAATCAACTTATATAATCAACAGTAATAAATAATGTCATGATCTGTGAGCAGCAGTATGACCTCTGTGTTCCGCAGAAGAAAGAAACTTTGGAAGAGATTTGGAATGACATAAGGGTGAAAAACATGTTCGTTTTGGGGTGAACTATTTCTTTAATTCCCTTTATATTCACAGATATATTTTTTTTGCAGAAAATGTGAGAATGAAGGTTAAGAAAGAGGAGAGGCAAAGTGAAGGGACAGATGGAGAAAGTAGAGGAGTGACAGGATATGTTATGCTAGAGGGAATGAAACGACAGAGTGCAAAGTAACAAGTCTCAGAACCCTCTCTTGTGGTAAAGTTTAAAAAGATCAAAGTAATGATCTTTCTAAAAGACCAGATGTCTGGAAAATAGATCCCAATTTATTCTAGGCAGCCAACGTCTTGAATACACCTTAAATTGCACCCCTCTTGGCCTGCCAGCCACGTAAGATAGAGCACATCAGCAAAGAGAAAATAGACCTATTTTGAGGACGGCGATACATACACAGTTTCTAATTTGTATAAAATGTTCTCACGTGGGAGAACATGAGATAGAGGTCTCATTACAAAGACGTGACATCTAGAGTATATAACAAATTTTCAGTGCTTTAATGTTTTACGGTTTCCACTTTCCATCTGTCTCCATCTCTAAATATGTATCTAAACAACTGTAAAATCTTCTTGTCTAGATTATTCTCTTGACTCGGTTAATGATGATTACCAGTGCTGTTCAGCATGAACTGATTGTGTGGCAGATAGTGTGCAATTTTTTTAAAGCTATAGAAAATTCGCTTCTATTACTTTAAGCACACTACTTTTATTTCATATGAACACAAGAGCACCATGACATTCCAAGAGCTACGATCAATACATCATGGCAGCATATGTTTTTCCATTACTTTAACTCATTGTATTAATTTAACCAATTTCAACTTAATTTTGACTCATCTTGGCTGTACAAGTAATTTCAACTTTAATAATATTTTATTAAAGCTGCAGTCCGCAGTTTTTCCCCTTTGTCGCCATCTCTGTTTGAAATCTGCAATAGCTGGGTTTCAGTCACGTGATTATGATGACGCGCGAAATTCAGATGGAGGGCAGGGAGTGAAGAGCGCAATGGACGAGATGGAGGAAAGTCCGTACTGTACTACTTTACACGCTATTACAAGAGAAAGATATAAACAAAAAATCAAACATATGTTGGACGTGATCCTTACGTTATGAAGAGGAGCGATTTTCAACTGAATTGAAAGATTTTCATGCCATCGAGGCGGTAGATATCAACAACTACCTCGTCTTACAGACATACTTTGACTTTACAAAGTTCGTAAACGTTACACGTTACACAAACATAGCCACTTAAGTTGTATTAACTCACCTTTGACGAAGTGATCACTGCACAAACGGGCATTTTCCCATTAGGCTCCTCCCGACCGCAGACGTAGGTTTACAAGCCGTTTTTCCAGAGTTTTTCAGTCAATTTCTTGCATTTTCCCCCCTTATGAACAACAACTTTTGGTACACGATAAAAACTCCTCGTGGTTTGATCGATTTAAGTAACCATAAACGACGCAAAACATAGGCATTTTGAGTTTGTTATAGTGCTTTCTAAATACAGCAAATCACTTCCTGCCCTCCATTTGCATTTCACGCCATGGCAACGCAGTGGCGTGACGTCATATGAAAACAAGCTATTGCAGTTATTCGCGGAATTATCAACTTTACTTGAGTTGTACTTCGACACGACACAGCGTGGATGAACACAATGTTTGAGGAGAGTGTGCGGCTGTCAGTCACCGTGCCGGTGTGGATACTGGCATTCAGAATCACAGATTATTCTTTTTGGAAGTATGACCAACATAATAATTTTCACTGGAAAATGTCATCTGAACAAGTAAGTAACATCCACTTTTGTTCTGGTTCTGACATTGCAGTAAATCGCGCTGATTAAATCTAAAAATCGCTTATCATATCATATTGTTCTCAAATTGTTAATTTTAACAACCTCAGCATTGCGTGACTACATGTATTGTGCTCCCGATATGTATCCTTGTTTTCGCATGGGTCCGGTTGCAGTCTCTTTTTTTCTGTAGCCACTCCGAAGTCCGAATGAAGTCTTTTGCATTTTACAACGGGTGAGTCTCCAGTTGTCACTGGTGATTGTCGTTTGAACCTTTCTGGATCCGCCATCAAATTTAATTATATCAAGTGCTGTGAGAAAAGGCTATAAATCTCCACCTCCAACATCCTCACACGCAATATAGCCTACTAGCCGAGACTCTTCTGTGTGTGTACAGATGTGACGTAATGACGCAAAGACATGCTTGAATCTCCCGCGGAAATCCACCAGTACTGGAATTAAAACCATTATTACAAGCTTACCGCTTGGAATCGAGCTAAGGCAAGCAGATAGTTTTGAACACTGGCTGGTTATGTATTTTCTCAAATATGTATTTTGGATAATTTTTAACCCCAAAAAAAGCTACGGACTGCAGCTTTAAATACATTTCACCAATTTTTTAAACTCAATTTCAAAATATAATTTAAGTCGAAATTACTTATACAGTCAATTTGATTATACTTAAACAATGTAAGGCTGCAGCTGAACATAAGTTTTTAAGTTGAAGTTAGATGGACATTTTTTTACTAGATAATTTGACCCTGTGACCTCCGGCTCTGCTGACATCATCAGCCCCTGGCCCTGTTCGGGAGCTGTGAAGGGTCAAGAGACAGGTCAGCATGTTTAAATGTGTCAGATTCAATGAGATCTTCTCTAAGCTGGTTTCCCCTATTCCTATCTGAATGTGCAATATACAGCGGTCGGTAGAGTAACAGATCCGATGAGGGCACGATAGCCGCTGGAAAAGAAGAAAAACATGAGGAAAATATTTCACTGAGGTCTGCACCAGCACATTTATTATTTACAACACCGCTCGAACGCAAATAATCCTCCTCACCCCTCACTAACGTGAAACTTTTTGAATCCATCGCCCTCTCAACAACAAACCGTCCCCGGATCAAACACGTCCACACACCCACACGCCAGCACAAATGCGGAAGGAGTCAGCGTGTTTGTGTTATTGTCTGCTGCTTAGGACAGGACTTCAAATGGTAAATGTCAGCAGGAGATCAAGGCGAGGAGGCCTTATGGGCGAAGCCTCAGTATTGTCATTGCAGCCACAGGTAGACAGGTGGGGAGAGACGACATGCTCGTCGGAGACGGAGGACGGGAGATATCAGAAATTTTGCCTCCTGTATTCTTGGCAGTAAGTCTGTGGTTTTTTGTGTTGTCAGAAGACTCTTGAAAATAACTGGCACGGCTGATTTTCCCACTGTCATTGCTTCCCATAGTTGAGGGAATCGTTCACCCAAAAATGAAAATTCTGTCATCATTTACTCTCCCTCACTTTGTTCCAAACCTGTTGAATTTCTTAAGTCCCAAGGTATGACCAGTGTCGGGTGAATTTTCGTGAGGGCAAAAGAATTTCCTTTAGTACATGTAGTTAATTATTATTACTCAGTCCTTAAATAGGCTCTTTTGACTTTCACTGTAATAATAAAAACAGTTGAAACGTTCTTCAAAATATTGTCTTTTGTGTTCATACAGGTTTGGAACCTCATGAGGGTGAGTAAATGATGATGGATTGTGTATTTTTGGGTGAACTATCTATTTAAGCAGAAGTGCCGGATAACATTGAAATACATTTTCTGTTCTGTTGTGATATGCACGTTAGGATGTTTTTAAACAATTGTCAGGCATGAAGGAGGTGATACTGGAGCTGAAGGACGACGTGGGTCAGAGACTCCATCACTTTTTTATTTTTATATTTTTTTTTAAAACAGTGCCCTTCAAAGCTCAACAGATACACAGACACACGTGTACACACACACACAGAGGAAGCCTTGGCAGACAACAGAAACATTATGGTGAGACCAATATGTCAATAAGATGACTGATCAGCTCCTCTATCATTTCTATGATAGAGGAGGGATAGTCTTTTTAATATTGGTCTCACATAATGTTTCTGTTGTGCTGTCTTGCCTAAGAGAAATTATATAAATGTGGGGGGAAATGCAAAGAACTGCACTCACCCGATAGTCTATTACCATAATAAGGGAGTAATGATGTTGTAAATTGTGATGATTGCAAAATTATAGGATTTATTTTCTATTATACATTGGATTTCTGTAAGATAGTTGTCATGATTGTTGTGATAGGCTGCAGACTGCCGAGAGCGAGGGAGAGTGAGTACGTGATGAGGGATTTTAAAACAGTCGTTTTATTATGGGAGAGAGAGAGAGAGAGAGAGAGAGAGAGAGAGAGGGGGAGAGAGAGAGAGAGAGAGAGAGAGAGAGAGAGAGAGAGAGAGAGAGAGAGAGAGAGAGAGAGAGAGAGAGAGAGAGAGAGAGAGAGAGAGAGAGAGAGATGCGATAACAGCGTTTGCCCTGTTCATATTTGACTCAGTGCTTGTCATTGAACACCGACAGACTCACACAGCGCAGGAAGAAAGTCCACGCATTAAGATCGACATTACAAGGTAAAATATTCATTTTTTCCCTAGATCGCTCCGGATGAATTCAACACGAGCTATCAAAGCCAGAGCTTCTGTCTCCTTCATATTTTAGAGTTTTTATTTTATTTTTTATGTTGGGTTAAGGAATAAGCAGCCCAGTGCGCCGCACGAGGGATTTATTTGCAAATGTATTAATTTCAGATGAAGTATATAGGCTACATGTAGCCTATATATTTTTGTGTTTGTTCCATAATTTATTATTTTGGCTTTAAAGCGTTGTGAATAAGAAGAAACACTATCGTATTGTGTTCAGTTTGTGTCCGCTTGCATTTTTTATTGTCCATCTAAAGTCCACTACGTTTTTTTTTTTAACAATGTAGCCTATAGGTCATTCAACACATAGTCAATACAAAGTACCGATGTTTCCCATTGACAATGTCCAAAAACTCCAGTAGACTACTCCTGACGGACTAACTGGGTGATGCATACATGCATGCTGTCCTTCCTATAGGCTATAAGTGGGGGTTTTGTGATATATGAGTTATTAAATACTGGACTCACTCTTGGGAAACGCGGACCTTCCACATGACTGGGCGCGCGAAGGAATTGAAGCAGATGGCGCGCGCTCTTCTGTCTGTCTGTCACCGTTGAGAGATTCGCGGGGCAACAGCATACACGTTTACCGACACCCCTGTGTTCGCGGGGCATATTAAACAGTTAGTCCTTTCTTAACGACGGCTTCACTGATGACACTCATTTGAGTCCCTAATAATGTTTTAGTCGCAAATTAAGTGAGTGTGGCTGCGCGTGAGCGAGCGCGCGGCGGCAAGGCTGGATACGCTCTGCTGCTCGTGCCATGTGTTTCCCCAAATATATTATTAGCGCGAATGCCCTTTTAGTATCCCAGACGTTGTTTTTTTTCCTCCATGTTTTTTGTAATAATGATTACAGTTGGCTGTAGGTAGATTTGCTGTCGCTTTCATTACCCATCGCCATGTGTTGCGTGAAGTAGTCGTCATATGATGTTTTGGGGTTAAGTGCGCTTAAAATTTCTGACCTCCCTGATTAAATCTTAACCTCCGAAAAAAAGTCCCAACAAAAAAAACCTTTCAGGGGTTAAGATTCACAAACACAAAAGTTAGAGTTAGTCAGAGGAGCCTACTAAATAAGTCGCGTTGGTTTGAGGAGGTTACCATAGCAACAGCAGGCTGGTCCATCACTTTTCGTTACGGTATGGTACGGTACGGTACATCGACAAAACATAAGTATAATCTACCACAAACAAATGTGTAATCTCTTGACTGAAGTCATTTCATATTTTGAAAACTTTCATTGTGATTACCTAATAAGTATCATCAGCATTGGTTGAGTGTCTGTCACTTAAAGTCACCATGAAATCAAAATTGATCAGTATAAATTGCGATATTTATTAAAAACGATTTATCCGTGCACATTATTATTATTATTATTTATTAATTTCAAGTGCCCTCTTAATCTTTAATCAAAATAACTTCCCCTCTTGCAACAACATCCCTTCTCTGATGATGTTTACTGGCGCAAGGGCAGGAAGACCTGTCACTCAGATTCAGAGCCGGACAGTAACGGAGTACATTTACTTGAGTACAGTACTTAAGTACAATTTTGAGGGATCTGTACTTTACTCGAGTATCATTTTTGGGGAGTACTCATGACTTTACTCAAGTACATTTGAGAGGCAAATATTGTACTCTTTACTCCAATACATTTCTATCCATAACCGTGAGTACCCGAGTAAAAAAAAAAAAAAAAGTAAAAAATAATCTCGGAAACCCTCAATTTGTTGTTTCCCTCTCAAACGTGATTGGATTGTGCAGGCGCCACTGATTGGGACAGCCTATCAGCAATCACTTTCAGCTTTCCGCCAAAGTCAACTACATGGTCAGATTTTATATTACACATTAATGTAAGCCAAGCATTTGGTTTGATGTTCTTGAGTATGTGGTGTGTTTAACACAGTCAGGTTCAAATGTGGCAGTGGCATAGCCACGAGGGATTTCTGATTTCTTAAAAAAAAAACTTTAGGAGGCAAAATATATTTTTACTGATTATGTGAATTACACTGCGCAAACCAAAGCAGGCTACTACCCAGCGAATGAAGAAGGGTTGGCGCTCAGTCTCCACAGTACATAAAATATTAATTTTGTTTTATTTTATTTTTCGGGTTTGCATTTATGAGGAAAAAACAATGTTATGGACGTGTTCTCCGTTACGGACGTGAGCGCTCTGAAAGCGGCATAAAAAATGCTGTAAAACTTTCACAGAGACATCAAACAGAAAACACAAAACCTTTCTTTAACCTGAATTTCGTTTTACATTAATTGTATCTTAATTTGAATCAATGTTTCATCAACCAATTGCCTGGGTTTAATAAATAAGAAGTAAATAGCAGACGATAGATAAGAAACGGAGGCGCCGGCACGTGAACTGGATCTCGTCTCATAAATGAACCGAAACACAATGTATAAGGTAGCCTACTTGGCTCTCACAGACATGTCTACTTTTAAACAGAAAAAATCAAAACGAAAGAAAACAGACTACAGACTGCTCTCTGTTTATGTAATCCGTATGAAATGTGCATTTCTCTCTGGCGCGTTCACTACTGAAGATCGCGAGTCAGCATCGTCAACTTCATCTAGCCGACACTGACAAAGAAAACACTTGTTTATTAACAAGTGTTTATTAATAAACAATTAAAACCTCTCCTTGCTATATTTTACATATTCATAATCATTCCTTTTGCCAGTTCTTTGTGACAGCTTTTAGGTGCTTTATTGGCAGCGCCACCCTTACATGTGGTGTGTGTGTGTGTGTGTGTGTGTGTGTGTGTGTGTGTGTGTGTGTGTGTGTGTGTGTGTGTGTGTTGTCCCCGCATTTAAAGATGGGACCCCCAAAAAATTTTATTAAATTAAATAAAGCAACATGGTAAAAAGATGAAAATGACTTGCTTTTACTT